TTTTAAATGGAACCGTTTTTTTTACCTTTAGATGAAATATGAAAGAATGGTTTTATATAGGTTTATGTTTTGTCATATATTTGATACAGCATATATGGCCTTGATATGGCCTTCTCTTGAGGTCAGAAAAGTAATCTCTGGTACATTTTCATTGCAAAACAAGACAAAAAACAAAAAATGCCGTGTATCAAAGCACAAGGAAGAACACAAATGAATTCAATTAAAACTTTATCACTAGATAGATAGATAGATAGTTAGATAGATTGTAATGAATTACTAGTATTATATAATGAATAAATCTATTCAATAAAAATATCTATAGTGTGGAGTATCCCCCACCCAAAAAAAAAAAAAAAAAAATCAGAAATAGGAGCCAGAAACATCCACCCATGGCAATGATGGCAGGCTGTATTGAAAGGAGTGAGACACATCCGCTATATCTCTATTTGCCCTACAGAAAACTTTTAATAAAAAATTTTTTGAGTGCATATATAATACAAATATACAATATTTCTATTACAGATATCAGTTATTGATAATGAAACCATCAATTTATTGATGGTTAATAAACAGGGGAACACAAAGGAATTAGTTGACGTTTTTAAACATGCTTTAAACACACGCGTTTTGGTAACAGGACTTAACTAACTAAAGTAATCCGAGATTAGTTAATAGTTAACATGTGTCGCAGTGGCGGCTCCTGCCAATTCTCTCGGGGGGCGGCAATTCAGTTGTCACCCATTCAATTGATAAATTAATGGCTAGTTAAAGATGTAAAGGAAACTGAACTACTATAGTATTAATTAAAAATAAACTGACTCTAACAATCAATCTCTTGCTCTCCTTATGTTTCTATATGCGTGTTAATACAATTCAACAGCAAATTAAGACTGAAGCCAGGCGGTTTTCCAAAAAAACATTTTACTTCAATTTCAGTTTAATAAGAAATAATTGAAGTCACATAAATCACTATTTACATAACTCACTTATATTACACGGCTCATTTACAACATTACTCACTTATATTACACAGCTCATTTACAACATTGCTCACTTATATTACATGGCTCATTTACAACATTGCTCACTTATATTACACGGCTCATTTACAACATTGCTCACTTATATTACACGGCTCATTTACAACATTACTCACTTATATTACACGGCTCATTTACAACATTACTCACTTATATTACACTGCTCATTTACATTACTCACTTATATTACACGGCTCATTTACATTACTGCTCACTTATATCACATTACTCACTTATATTACATTGCTCCCTTATATTACACTGCTTACTTACTCACACGGCTCACTTAATTACACTGCTTACTTACATTACTCACTTAACTTTACATTACTCACTTACACTGCTCACTTATATTACATTACAACTGTAGTTGTCCATGCGATGTCCGTCACGCTCTCGGAATGGAACAAAATGCAGGGGTAGCAGAATAAAGCGTTAGCTACTTCGCAGCCCGCTAGCCATTTTTTCCGCTCATACCACGTCCTCGAAAATCACCGTTTATACGACTTCCCACCTTTTGTAGATACTTGTTTGAAATTTAAATTTGGTCTTGTTGGTCCTAATTCTTTAATTGCCCATTTATCCTCATTGCTACGACGACTGAATGGTATTTCTTTCAATGACATGATATAATTCATCTGCGCTGAAGTAACGTTCGCCAAGATGTCGATCAAGTTCAACTGACAACTGAATATGAGCAGTGTTGCCAACTAATTTTCAGGGGAAGTTGCTAAAGGAAGGTTGAGTTGTTGCTAAAAGTTGCTAAATGACGCGATGTCATTGCGCGGTGACGTCATTGCGTAATCACGATGCAAAATTGTGTCACTGCATCAAATCTCAGCAAAAAATATAAACAAATGTATATATGTTAATTTAGATGTTTATAAAATAATATAAATGCATAATATTAAAATATAAATAACTAATTTTAAATTATTAAACACATTTTTTAACAATTACAATTTAAGTTTATTTTTATTAGCTAGTAAACTAGTAAAACTACTCATTCTGAACAATTATAGTTTTAAGCAGTGTATTAATAGTTCGTACGCTACACTCTAAGAAAAGTCTGTAAAAATAGGGCAAAATCTATTAATATGAAGGAATTTTCCGTAATTATTATTCACACATTTTTTACCTACATTTTAAATTACGCATTGTATTTTGTTTTCGGGTTACAGGGTTACAATGGATAATGGAAAATGTCCTGGAAAATTACTACATTTTTCTAGATATTTTTCTTACCGTGCACTAACTGATCAACAAACTCAAGTACAAGCTACTAACAAGGTGTATCATAAATGAACAATTATTCAATTATTATTATTATTATTATTAAATTAAACAATTGCTAATAGCAGCCAACTTAATTCATGTGAATTGTGTACTGCTAGGCACCTTTGGTTTCCTCTTTTTGTGTAATTTAGATGGAAAATGTGTGCCTTTTTTATCGTTTGAGTCACTTATCAAACGTTGCTAAATGTTGCCAAACAAATAAAAAAAAATAGCTACATTTGTTGCTAGGTGCTTTTGGAAGAAAAAGTTGCTAGGGTAGTCTGAAAAGTTGCTAAATCTAGCAACAAAATTGCTAAATTGGCAACACTGAATATGAGTTGGCGGCGTAACGTAGCTGTCCCCGCCTCTGTTTTTTTTTCTTCTCACATTTGATAAAGATATTAAAGTAGTTTTTCATTTTTTCTTGTTGTTAAAATTCAAAATAGTTTTTAAATATTATTGGATGTCACTGTTCCCACCAATCCTTGCACAAGTTAAGGTTACGCATGATGACGAAAGCACGTTAGTGC